TTGAGATTCGGGGTTTTTGGGTGAGCTGCAAAAATTTGGGTCTGAGACCCAAGTTTTTAGGTGAAGAAGACAGGATCCAGATGCGTCCGGGTCCCTGTACAGGGCCGGCTCAGCCTAAAGGGGTAGCAGGCTCGCAGGCCTAAGCCATAGGCCAACCCAGGCAATGGCTGGGCTGAGTCAACTCGCTAGGTCGACTTGGCTCAATGGAAAAAAAAAGGTTAGGTTTTTGGTGGTGGACCAGCCAGTGTTGGCTGAGGGATTGACCGGCTAGTTCGAGGAATTTTAAAATGGTTTTCTCGGTGGTTGGGCCGGTTCCTGGTCCATGAGGCTAAGGGCTATCAGAACCAGTGAGTTAGGGAAATTTTGAATGGCCGGTTCGAGGTGAACTAGCCGGTTCAATGTGTTGCCCTATTGGGCGACTGGTTCACCGATTTTTTAGGCTGAGTCTTGGGAAAGCTGAACTGGTTCCTGGTTTAATATAACGAAACCTAGCTGTTTATGAAATTTGGTGATGTTTGGGTGCCTGGTTCTAGGTAAATCGAGCTCAGTTCAGTATGCCGGTACTTAGGAGTGGGGTTCTTAGCTAGTTCAAGGCCTGTTTAAGGGGTTTTGGCCGATTAAAGGTGGTTCCTAGGGTTTTTGGGTATTTTGAATCCGATTTTGAGGGTTTCGTGGCTGGTTCAGTTCGATTTGGTATAGTTTTAGACCAGTTTGGATTGGTTCAGGGTTTTTTGGAGGCCGGTTCATTATTGTTGAGGGCAGTTGAGTAGAATTAATGAATGTTCGGAGTTATGTGGGCCTTGAGGTAGGTTAGTAGTGCCTCGATATGCATGTCAAGAGCCCGGATACGGGAGAAATCCTGGGCCACTTCCGATGAGTGAGTCTTTTGGAGTAAATTCGATTTCAATTCTGACTTGTGGCTTGGTGATTGTAGATACATCGAGAATGCACGCTCTGACCCTTGAGTCATCTGTCAGAGTTTCTTGATATCAATTTTGACGTGTCTAGTGAGTGACAGTACTCTCTGTACATGTGTTTTGATTTCTGAATTATGGTGTTACTTCCAAGACATGTATCTATCTATTTTAAAGTACGATAAGCTTGAAATTATTTTTGTAATTAATTATGTACCTGCCTCAGTGATACATGCATTTCTAAAAGTTAATCTGTTGGGAGTTATATATGATTCTGATTCTGAATCTAGTTCTGGTTTTGGCACGGGATCCTAGTGCGACGGATATGAGATATGTGACTTTGATTCTGACACGGGATGCCAGGGGCTCAGCCGGCGTACGGTGGGTCGCCGTAGCGTTTTGGGAGTGCCCTGAATCCATGTGTGACTCTGACTCTAATACAAGATACCAGGGGCTCAACCGGTGGATGATGGGTCGCTGTAACATTCGAGGAGTGCCTTAGATCCACATGTGACTCTAATTCCGATGCAGATACCAGGGGCTCAACCAGTGGACGGTGGGTCGCTGTAGCATGCACGGAGTGCCCTGGGTCCATACGTGGCTCTGGTTCTGATATCTGATACGTTCCAATACTCCGACAGATTTTTGATTTTCTAATTCTGACTATGCATATATAAAATACATGTGTTGTTTGAAGCAAGTGTGATTTTTTTCATAAACTGTGTTATTATTGGAGACATACTTGTGTTTGAATTGTTACGATTCCTGTCCTAATATGTGTAGAGTAGTACTGTTATTCACTGAGTTTTATACTCACTCCTTTTTCCCCCACCTTCCAAATTTCAGTTTTGATTGGTAACGGTAACTTCTACAACAGTTTCATCACGCTGCACTAACTTGATTGTGCGGACACTTTCTGTATATTTACTTTTTATACTTTAGACACTCCATGTACAGTTTAGACGTGTTTTGTTATGTTTATTGACTATATTTTTGTTGAGATACTTTATCTGATTTGTTCTAGTTAGAGGCTGACTAGGGTTGGTACGCCAACCCTAGTGCCGATCACACTCCCCGGTTAGGGCATGGCATTACTCTTGAGGATCAAAGAAACAAACTTGTATTGTTGATTCCACCATGGCTACTGAGTTTATAGCTTTGGCAGTAGGATGCAAAGAAGCTGAGTGGCTTAAATTTGCTTCATGAGATTCCAATATGGCCAAAACCAATGGCACCAATATCTATCTATTGTGATAGTCAATCTACACTTTTAAGGCATATAACCAAATATATAATATAAAGTCTAGACACATTGGGCTAAGACATTGTTATGTGAAATAATTGATAACAAATGGAGTTGTTTCCATTGTATTTATAAGGTCTAAACAAAATCTTGCTAATCCTTTAACAAAATGATTGCCAAGGGATTTGGTGTGAAAAACATCAATTAGGATGGGACTTAAGCCCACATTTTAAATGATTACCAAATAATAGAATCTCGACTTACATTTGAGTAGCATCAAGTTTTGAGTTTAATGAGAGAAGTATATCAATAGAGTGATTGCAAATACTTATTTATATTTATCCTAAGGTAAAAAGTACTTGATACCATAAATAAATAAAATGGGATGGTTGAGCTTTGCTCTTAATAGACCTATGGCATATATTTGTTGAAGTGCTTATTATGGGTACACTTTTGATAGTGTTTACCTATATGAGAGTAAAGTGGGGCGGCTTCTTGGAGTTAAGGGCTTGACTCTTAAAACTCTCATGAAAGGGATACTAGACACTAGGCCATGTTAAATGTGTCATATTGTTAAAATGACATTCAATGATATTGAGATCTTATATGTAAGGCTTGCACGCCAATTCATATGGATTAAATTATTCAAAGCTAATCTACCATTGGTTCTAAATTAGTAAAACACATGACTTACTAAGTAAAGATTCAAATCACAAGATATCTTTATCTAAAGCATAAGATTTCCGGAATGATAAAAATTTGGATTTATTTTGAAAATGGTGAAAGATTGTGAGAAGACTTTCTAAGATAAAGAAAAGACTCAATCTCACAGTGGATATCTATGAAATGTGAAAAGACTTCATATATAAAAAATCCACATCTCACATTAAAGTTTGTTACAAGAGAATTATGCCACATGGACCATGCACATGCGCACATAGCATGGGCGCTTTTAAGATGCACTTGGCACTTTGACACATGGCACATGCATGTGTGGAAATTATAGATAATTAAAAATATATATATTTTAATTATTTTAATTTTTATTTTATTTTATTTTTTACAGTTATCTATTACTGCAATTTGTAGTTATTAGTTCCTGAAAATTTATGATTGTTGAAGGCAGTTTATGATTATTATAGGATTGTTTATAAAAGGAAAAATACACCATTTGCCAAGATAGATGATTTTCATACAACCATATTATTCTTGTATTTCTTTATTGTGCAAAAAAAAAAAATTTAAATATTATTCTGTAAAACTCATTTTTGTTGTTAGCTTAAATTAAGTAGTACAAAATAAACCAAGTGTTCTTCATTATATTTTACTGGAAATTCGTCTGTATCCTTTTACATCCAATTTTTTGTACTAGTAGTGGCGAATTAAACATAAAGAAAGTGTTTATCACGTCTTGAAAATTCTGTATAATTTCAGTTTATTTATATAAATTTTTTTTCTAACAACCTGATTATCCAATGGAGCACTACGCCAGTATTTGTAGGTACCATCCCACACGGTCAATTGTGCGACAGTTTGGAGATCAACCCCCGCCGAGGAGTTTCCAAATGATGGATCAGAAGGGCTTCTCCATGATTTCAACACAATCTTTTCACCCGTGCTTTGATCACTGCTCAATTACATCTTCTTTAAGAGCGATTCTGTAAGTGTGCTGAAAACTATGCCACAGCATTTTGCCGTCATAACCGTCTTCAGAACGAGGTTCCCTGAGTCTAAGAGCCAGGCACTGGAATTCACCATAGAATTCGACACGTTTTATGACCAAATAATATCTTTCTGTCCATTCAGAACTACAACATTGCCTTCTTCTGAGATGGTTATGGTCCCAAAGTAATCATTCAGAGGCTTTTCTCCATTTGCTACCCATACAACTGATCTAACACGGACGTTGCTGAACCAGATGCCAACGTAGCAATTGGTGGCATTGGGAGAGCTGAAGAGTCCCATTTCAACGGTCCTGTTGGTGGAGACAATAGTTTCAGGGTTAGTGATAGGATGACTAGATGTAACGGTGTCCAGGGTAAAAAAGTTACCGTGCAAAGCAAAACAAGAGAAGAGGTAGAGGACCTTGATGGGAAGTGCTCCTTTACAGATGATGAATTCCATGAATTTTTGATGATTTTAGTTGGGTTAGAATTAGATGCTGTCTTTCTGTGTTATGGAAAGTTTATGCTAAGACGAAAGTTTAATATCTGCACTAATTCGTACTTTTCAGGAGGAGTTCAACTTTGATAATTCTTTGGCCGACCTTAACAGGTCATAGGAATTTGTGTTCTAGGTGTCAACTGATTAATAATATAACAAGCATTCAAAGTTGATATGGAGGAATTTTGAATTAGCCCGCTTTTTTATGTGTGCTATCTCACCAATGTTGAAGTAGAAGGAGTTGAATTCGCTAAATTTCAAATATTATATGGGTTTCTAAGATGAAATTCTCACGGAAATAACTTCTGCAAGCTTTGTATTAGTCATTTCCACAGAGATTTGTTCAATAATACAGGGCAATCAAAAGCTGTTCAATTGTTTCTTTCCCCTCCGGTTCTAGTTTTGCAAAATCTGCATAGAACTTGCTAGGCCATCGCTGTTCTCTTTTACTACCTTTCTTATTAATGTCATGAAATTGGAATAAATTCTTCACCAGATCAAAGCCTCCACTTTCATGCCCAACAAGCATAATTTTCTACCTTTCAATTGACTATCTTTTATTTTTATTATTCTTTTTGTTAAAGGTCTTTCACTTGGCTGAGTAAAAATCTGCCCCGCAGCATCCTTTTTGATTGCTAAAAATTAATCACTAATTTTGATTTTCTGAAAGAGTAACACAATTAGGTCATGTCGTCAAGCTCAAAATGTTCATTGAAATTGAAATTAACCTACTCATCAACACAAAACTCATGTAAGCGATTTATTTTAAATTGTCTAGCCATCAGGCAATCACTTGTCCTGTCTTCCTTTAGCGTTCAGCTAGAACTTGATCTCCTTGAAAGGGTAACTTACGGCACTTAAATGGGCATTTGTTTCTCAAATTACCTTCGAACTTTGCATCATATCTAAAACTCCTTTCTGTAAAAAGCTTTCAACCTATGTGAAAACAACATATTATCCAATAAATTCATTTCAATTCAGCAAGGAAAGAAGTAACCTTGTTGATAAAAGAATAGGAGTTGGTGATAATAGCACTTACGCAAACCTTTGAGCATTTAATTTTAAAAAAATGACTGCAACTTCAATCCAACAACTGAACCAATCAAATTTGCAATAGAAAATATGTACTCAATTCCCATGAATTGGTGTCCTCTCCGTATCTTTATGAAACAAGCAACTACAAGGTATTTGGGGAAACTAGAATAAGGATTGTCTGGCTTCAAAACTTCAACCAAAACATGCTTGTAGAAGAAACTAAAAAAAAATAAAAAATAAAAAATAAAAGTAAAGAAACGAAAGAAGAGAACAATCTGATTCATTATCAGCCTTGTACAATTTTAAGAGCGAAATCACTAACAGAAAAGTTGTGTTGGCTTTCTTGAAAACAAGTGATTACAAGATATCTTGATGAAACTAGAATAATAGGAGTACAAGGAATAATAGATAAACAAGTAAAAGAATAATCAAACTCAGATATTATCGGCCTTTAACAACTGTAAGAGTGACATCATTCACAGAACATCTTTGATGGCCTTGTTGTGAAGAATCATTCCAACATGAGGTATATCTCTCAGTAAATGCAGGTTGATTTGGTGAGGGAAGCACTGCAGTTTCACTACCTAGCATTGAAAGAACCCTTGAAATGGTCGGTCTATCAGCAGCAAATTCTTGCACACATAACAAACCAACATGCAAGTATCTCAAGATTTTATTTCTAAAGCCTTGATAAGAAATTCTTGGGTCTATAAGAGTCAAAATTTCGTCTTCATTCCACAACCTCCATGCCTGAAATGGTCAATTAGTGATGAAAGAAACTTCATGAGATGATAAACATTGGACTGCTAAACAACTAGAGAATTGAGTTTTTAACTAGACTTACCAATCCCAAAAGGCTGAGTGCTTGTTCATCGTCATAAAATCCTGTGTTTCTTTTCCCACTTACAATCTCTATTAATAGTACTCCAAAGCTGAATACATCTGATTTCTCCGAAAACCTCCCCTGCATTGCATATTCAGGAGCCATATAACCACTGTAGAATCTCATTGTAAATTTGTTAGCAGCAGATCATTCCAATACGAAATAAGGACATCATGTTACAATTTTGAGGAAAGACTTCACTTACTATGTCCCAACCACCCTCCTTGTATTGGCTTGATTTTCATTGCTAGCAAAAATTCTTGCCATGCCAAAATCAGAAATTTTTGGATTTAGCTCCTCATCCAACAAGATATTACTTGTCTTTAGGTCCCGATGAATGATCCTTAATCTGGAATCCCTGTGAAGGTAGATGAGACCTCTGCCTATCCCTTCAATTATATTGAAGCGCTTATTCCAGTCCAAGACTTGTTTGCTGGGCTCTAAAAGAAAGGTATCAAGAGAAAACTTAATACTATTGAGCAAGTAAAAACACTGTGACAAATAAAACCAATATTAAAATTGAAGTTTTGATATAGGTGTATTAAGCTCGTATAGAAAATATTTGCGATAATGAAAATTTTCACCTATCAGAGATTCATTGACTTTGGGAGTACAAAACTAGAGACGTTATATATAAGTAGTGGATATTTTGGACACTAACCAAACAAGGAAGCATCCAAGCTTCCATTTGGCATGTATTCATAGATCAGCATCTTTTCCTCTCCCTCAATGCAGCAGCCAAGCAGTCTGACAAGATTGCGATGCTGGAGTTTAGAAATTACCACAACCTCATTCATGAATTCATCTAGACCTTGACCTGAGGATCTAGAAAGCCTTTTCACAGCTATCTCTCGCCCATTTGGAAATTTCCCCTGAAAATTAATTTTATTCTGTGATTCAAAACAACATAGAGCCAAGTACAAGGTGACCAAAGCATTACCTTGTATACAGGACCAAAACCACCCTGTCCAAGCTTATTGGTCAAGTGAAAGTTTTCTGTTGCTGCTGCCAGCATCTCAAAATTGAAAAGTTGTAGCTCTCCTAGTTCAGCATTGATTCTATTAGTGCCAAGCAAAAGTTCAGTTGAATGGTCCTGATATTTGGAGCAATTCATAAATAGTAGCATGTTGCTCAGCCTCTGCTTTCCTGGTTTTCAAGACCTGCTATCAGTTATCTAGGGCAAAAACAGCAATTCTTCTTAAAATTTCTTAGCTGAAGTAACTCTATTTCACTTTACCTCTTTGCTTAACCAACCTCATCCATGAGATATAAGCACACATGGCAAAGATTATTGACCCTATACTCACTGAAATAGCAATTACTACGTTCTTGTTGCCATTATTCTCTGCTAAGTAGGATAAAAACCAATACTTCAGCAAGGACAAACCTCACATTTGCAACTTGCAATTTAATAATGACGAAAAGTATGCACTGGACATTCATAGAGGTGCCAAATAAAAGGAATTTCAAAATTTTGTTTAAATTTCATAAGCACAAGTTAATAATATTTTATATTAAATGCAGTTGGGTTGCCTGGTTCTGGTAGTTAAAAGACATCTAGCATAATAAATAGGGTAAGCAAGTAGTAGAAGTTGCCGTCAAAGCAGAAGGCATTACCAAGCTCTGAAGATGCAAGACGAATGTAAAGATCTGCCCCATTTATGGAAAATTCCTGCAAGTCAACTAAATGTCCTCTCCACAACATGCAACCTATGCCCACATAATATGTATATGCTGTGCAAGAACAATTCTTTAAGCAATTGTTTTCACACTCACTTTCTGGAACAGACAATACGTCTTGTGAATCTGGCAATTTCATTTTTGTGAGCTTCCGGAACCCATCTTTCTTGCCAGTCCTGTTCCTCTCGCAATACAAAAGAGCCTTCCTCACACAGCCACCACTGAAGTTCCCATGTTCCCATTCCTCTTCGTGAACAGGCATAAAACCTGGCAAACAGCTACAAACTGGGAACTTGTTTGAGTTGCAACTTCCAAATTGGCCACACTTGTTATAAAGCCCACACTCAGTTTTATGACTTGACCAGGTGGCCACCCAGTCTTGCTTCTCCACGTTCCACACTACCTTTTCTAAATTTCCATATGGGTTTAGACGAACATGCATGTTTTGATCAATTTCACTAATGTAGAACAAAGATGCACTTCCCTCCTTGTCATACTCAACAATATCATGCTCGATATAAGTAGAATTCATATGTTCTATTCCAATGAAGACCTGACCATTCCAAGGACCCGAGCGCCAACACAGCGTGCTGCCATTCCACACAACCACTTGTACAGCTGATCGAGGATCCATTCCAGCCGAGTAGATTCCAACAGATGGATCAGAAAAGCTTCTCCACGATTTCAGCAGAGTCTTCTCGCCTGTGTTCTTATTAATGCTCAGTTTCATCTTCTGTAGAAATGTGTCTGAAGGGTACTTAAAGCTCTCCCAAAGTGTTTTTCCATTGTTCTGCAGCACAAGGTTCCCCGATTCTAAAAGTCGGGCACTAGAATTGGCCATAAATTCTGATATATTTGATGACCAAATAATCTCCTTGTCTCCATTAATAACAACAAGATTGCCTTCTTTAGAGATGGTTATAATCCCTGACAAATCATTCAGAGGTCTGCCTCTATTGGCTACCCATACAACTGATCTAACAGGGACATTGCTGAACCAGATGCCAACATAGCGGTTTGTGGTATTGGGAGGGCTGAAGAATCCCAGTTCGAAGACCTTGTTGGCGGAGACAATAGTTTCAGGGTCAGTGATGGGCTGAGCAGATGTGATGGTGTCTGAGGCAAGATTGGACTTCAAAGCAAAACAAGAGAAGAAGAGGAACAGGACCTCAACATGAAGTGCTTTTTTACAGATGATGAATTCCATGACTTCGGATGCACTGCCATGTTACGGACTATTTATGCTAAGATGATTTTTCAATTGCTATGATCATTCATACTTTTCAGCAGGAGCACATCTTTGGAAATTTCTCAGATCTTTATATTATTAGTCATTTCAACATTACAAGGCAATTGGAAGCTGTTCACTTTTTTCCTTCCCCTCCTGTTCTAGGTTCGTAAAGTTGGCATGAACGTACAGTACAGGGCATCATTGTTGTTCTCTTTTCCCACCTCTTATTATGTCATGAAATTCAAATCAACTATTCTATCAAAGCCTCCATTTTCATACCCGACTAGTATGAGTTTCTTCCTTTCCTATTGACTTTTTTTTTCTTTTTTTTTTTTCATTCATTTATTGAAAGTTTTACACTTCGCCAAATTAAAATCTACACCGCAGCATCCTTCTTGATCGCTAAAACTTGAAGACCATTTTTAATTTTACAAAAATTAACTTATGCCCAGAATAATTTTGTTATATTATTACATCTTCCAACTTTAAAATTGAAGAAAAATACGTTACACATTAGTAAGCCTCTTCATTCTAGGCTTAAGTTAGGACATCCCTTTATGCACAAAACACTCATTGACGTTAAAGTTGACCTAGTCATCAACACAGAAGTCATGTAAGCGAATTGCTGTATACTTTTCTAGCAAGGGGCAATCAATTTCTTCCTCTAGCATCCGTGTATGACACGGAGCGAATTCTTCAGCCTCAAAGTTCAACATACCACGTGGCACTCAAACGTAGGCCATATGCTCAAGTCAATATCAACCCACTTGACATTCTTGTCTTTAGCACACGCAAGTCACAATAAGATAGAGACGAGATTTTGCCAAAATGCCAATCTTTCTTATATTCTCTATTTTTCCGGATTACAACTCTAGGAATGGCCAATATACACAATTCAGACTAAGTGAAGTCAACTAATCTCAATAACAATTGCAGAGTTATATTCAAAAGAAGGGCTGCGGAGGACGAGGATGTGAGGTCCAGCCCCATTGAATAAAAGGGGAAAGGGGCTGCGGCCGCAACCCTCTTTTTTAACTTTGATACAATGCACCGAATTCAAGCCTTTGTTTTTGACAAATTGAAGAGCTGAAGCTAGATAAAAAAATAAAGGGGTCTAGTGAGAGAGACTCAAATATTAGGGAAAAGAAAATTTTTCCTATATGGATGATAAGTTTATTGGAACGAGGATGTTATAAAAGTGAGAATTCTTTTGTGAGTAATATCTCGAGTTAATAAAAATATTCGAGAGTCCTGTATAAAATTCCTTCCTATAGTAGTGATATTTTTCCTCTCTGATTTTTGGTTTTTTCCAATTTATATTTTTCACGTAAAATTTTGGTCTCTATATTTTATCCCTTCCTAAATTTATTGTGAGTATATTTTTTATCTGTGGGTGTACTAGCCCGAACAAATAGCATCAAAGTACCGTGGGCCCTAATAAGTGGTATCAGAATCAAGATTAGTATTATTTCTACATACATATATAATGTGTACTGTTCATACATACTAGTACTAGTCATTCATACGGTGGTACTATTCATACGTATGGTACTGTTCACATATACAGTACTGTACATAGGGCACTATTCACAGTAAATTTTTTGTGAAAATATCAAGAGTAAAATATGATGTAGAAAAATTTAACGGAGATTATGGTTTTTCCACATGGCAAAAAAGAATGAAGGATTTGCTAATCCACAAGGCCTTCACAAGGCATTGAAAGAAAAAAAGCGGATTCCATGAAAAGTGAAGATTGGACGGACATAGACGAAAAGGCAGCCAGTGCAATCAGATTACACCTATCAAATGATGTTCTCAACAATGTCATCGATGAATCAAGCACGAGAAAAATTTGGACAATACTAGAAAGTCTGTACATGTCTAAAACGTTGACAAATAAATTGTACTTGAAGAAACAATTCTATGCACTCCAGATACGGGAATATACAAATTTTCTATCTCATTTAATATATTTAATGGACTAATCATGCAACTTGCAAACGTTGGAGTAAAGATTGAAGAAGAAGATAAAGCAATCTTACTCCTGAATTCGTTGCCATCCTCCTATGACAATTTGGCAACAACAATCCTCCACGGTAAAACCACCATTAAGCTAGGAGAAGTCACATCAGCTATCTTGCTCAGTGAGAAGATGAAAAAGAAGCTAGAAAGCTCAGGACAAGCTTTCGTCACCGAAGACAAAGAGAGGAATCTAGAAAGAAATCCAGGCAAATGGCATGGCAAATCTAGAGGAAGGTCCAAACACGAGGCAAAGGCTGTTGGAATTGTGGCCAACAAGATCACCTTAAGAGGAACTATCCACATCCACCAAAGCAATAGGGTGGACACAGAAAGAAAGGTGATGACAGGAATACAACCGCAGCAGTACAGAATAATGATTCTATGACCCTCATCATGAATGAAGAAGAGGAGTGCATGCAGGTGTCCACATCTGATTCAGAATGGGTTGTTGACACAGCAACATCTTATCATCTCACTTCAATCAGAGATTTCTTCTACACATACAAAGTAGGAGATTTTGGTACAGTAAGGATGAGAAACACCAATTTCTCCAAGATCGTGAGAATTTGTGATATTCGTGTCAAAACAAATATCGGATACACACTTATTCTAAAGAATGTCTGACATGTTCCTGATATGCATATGAATTTGATATTAGGGATTGTCCTTGATCGTGAAGGATATGCAAATCTCTTCGCAAATGGGACGTGCACACTCACCAAGGGATCACAGGTGGTAGCAAAAGAAAGGCGTCCAACATGCTGTATAAGACAAATGTTAAAATTTGTCATGGCGAGGTGAACATGATCGAAGGAGAACAATCTTCAAACTTATGACATCCGAGATTGGCACACATGAGTGAAAAAGGGTTGCAGATCTTGACAAAAAGATCACTTATCTCCTTGGCAAAAGGTACATCACTTAAACCTTGTGATCATTACTTATTGGGAAAGCAACATAGGTATTTTTTCAGAAGTCTCTTGATAGAAAATCAAATATACTAGATATGGTATATTCTAATGTTTGTGGTCCTATAGAGGTTGAATCGATGGGTAGAAATAAATACTTCATTACTTTTATTGATGATTCTTCAAGAAATGTGTGGATTTATCTCTTGAAAACTAAAAACCAGGCATTCCAGGCATTTCAATCATTCTATACAATGGTGGAAAGGGAGACAAGCTGAAAGCTGAAGTGTCTCCGATTAGACAATGGTGGAGAATATACTTCAGGAGAGTTTGAAGGATATTGCTCTAGCCATGGGATCAGATATGAAAAAATTGTTCCTGGAACACCACAACACAATGGTGTGGCTGAGAGAATGAACTGCACTATTGTTGAAAGGGTGAGGAGCATGCTCAGAATGGCGAAACTGCCTAAGTCATTCTAAGGTGAAGCTATTCGCACAGCTTGCTACATCATTAATAGAAATCCATCAGTTCCACTAAGATTTGATATCCCTGAAGAAGTATGGAAGGGCAAAGAAGTGTCGTACACTCATTTGAAAGTGTTCGACTGCAAAACTTTTGTCCATGTGTCGAATGAGCAGAGATCGAAGCTTGACGATAAAGCTATTCCCTATATCTTCGTCGAATACGGAGATGAAGAATTCGGTTACAAACTATGGGACCCAGAAAAGAGGAAGATTATTAGGAGCAGAGATGTGGTCTTCCGTGAAGATGAGTTTGGAGTTAATACCCAAATAAAAAAGGTCAAAAAAGAGAATAGTACGAATTTATATGAAATTACCATTCTATCTACATCAAATCATGCAATAGATGGAGAAGATATCATACCAGAAGAAGTTGATGATGAGGTTGACGAGCAGGAGGAGCAACAGCAAGATGAGCCATAGTAGGGGGAGCAACCCACCCTACCAAAAGCAGCAGCACTACCTCTCAGGAAATCTAAACGAGAAAAGAAAACATCATCTAAGTATTTATCTTCTGAGTATGTTATTGTTACTAATGAAGGGGAGCCGGAGAATTTTCAAGAAGTATTGACTCATCCAAAAAAAGACAAGTGGATGAAAGCCATAAAAGAAGAGATGAGTTCTTTGGTGAAAAATGGCACGTACAAGCTAGCTGAACTTCCAAAGGATAAAAGACCGCTTAAATGCAAATGAGTCTTTAAAGTGAAAAAAGATGGAAATGGCAAGCTGATCAGACACAAAGTTCGACTGGTGGTCAAAGGGTTCGAACAGAAGAAAGAAATTGACTTTGAGAAAAGTTTTTCACCAGTTGTGAAAATAACTTATATCTGAATTATTTTAGGCTTAGCAGCTAGTTAAGATCTTGAATTGGAGCAGTTGGATATTAAAAACTGCATTTCTTCATGGAGATTTGGAAAAAGAGATCTACATGGAACAGCCAGAAGGATTTAGAGTCAGAGGGAAAGAACACATGGTGTGCAAATTGAATAAGAGTTTGTATGGGTTAAAGCAGGCATCAAGGCAGTAGTACAAGAAGTTCGATTCATTCATGAAGAGCCAAGCATACAAAAAGACTCTTTCAAATCCATGTGTATACTTCAAAGGTTCTCTAACAACAACTTTATTATTTTGTTGTTGTATGTAGATGACATGTTGATTGTGTCGGACGTAACAAGGAGCAAATAATCAAACTGAAGAAGGATGTATCCAAGACCTTTGATATGAAAGACTTGGATCCTACACAACACAAATCCTAGGGATGAATATGGTCAAGACAGGAAGAAAAGAAAGTTATGGTTATCTCAAGAGAATTATATTGAATGTGTTCTAGAACGCTTCAACATGAAAGATGCTAAACCAATTAGCAACCCTCTTGCTGGTCACCTGAAGTTGAGTAAGAAGATATGTCTTACAACAATGGAAGATAAAGAAAAGATGACTAAAGTTCTCTATTCCTTAGCAGTTGGGAGATTGATGTACGCCATGTTCTGTACCAAACCAGATATTATTCATGCTGTTGGAG